ACATTTAAATTCAACTGTGCAACATAAACATTGGTCTTCATTTCAACCATTGCAATCGGTTAAACTCAGCTTTCTTTGCTGGAAATAGTTTATGATTGTTAATACCAAGTATTCTTGATGGAGGATATGATTGTAATGTAACTGGAATGTAGGTCTTCTACCATTATTGGGACGATTTAGAGACAGCATTTTAATACTGGCCTTAATAAAACCATTGGACAGCCCTAGACAATTATCCATACCGTGGTTAAAAGTGTACTTCTATAAGCCCAGGTAATTAATTAATAGTCCGTGGCCTGGCAATCAAATAACAGTATTTATATAGGATAAGCTACTGTTATCGACATTTGAAATTACTGAATTGTTGCCAAATTACTGTTTTACAAAATGCAGATTCCATTTTTAGCCGAGCCATTAAAATGAGGATTTGCCAAAAAATTATTAATTGGCTATTAAAGAATATTATTTAATGATATACAACTTTTCACATTTTATAAATTATATGTTAGTTTTGCTATGGTCAAAGGTCCAAATCCAAATGTTCTTTTCTTTTGGTCTGTATGTAGTAATTTGCTAGAATCATTGACTTTATATAAAGTCAATGCTAGAATACTGTAGATGGTTTGTTAAGACCATAATATGCAAGCATTTTTGAAATCGTTTCCCCGTTTAACCAACTATTCCAAAAAATAAAAAAAAATAATATGGTGCAACACAAATACACAACCCGATCACCTACTTATAACCTACACTTTACCTTCCTAATCTAACCTTACTTCAAAACACTTAATGTAGTCACGAATACTCATAAACCCCGACCTACCTTCCCCACATGCCTAAATTAGATCAGTGTTCACTGTTCAATCTGCGTTTTATTAATAAGTGTAATAACTTACTGTATCGTCGATGTAATTCAACATAATATAATCTGTGAGGTATTATCGGATTAAATATCGATTTCGATGCGGTTCGATATATCGCTTATTAAATCCTTATTTCTAACATTGACTGTTCTAATCAGCTGGCAACACAAATAAGGTGCCCAAGAGTAAGTAGTCACTGCGATATGCTCCGCGCATTGAGAAAGTAGTTCCGTCTATTTTCGCAATTTGTAGTGAATTCCGTGCCTTAAAAAATGTTTTAACGGTATTTTCTTGTTTATTAAGATCACAGGAATGATTTAAAAACGTTTAAAAGAAAAGTCTAGAAAGTTCAGAAATACCTTATGATTCTCTTGTTTACATTTTTCTTGTAAACAAAAAACTGTCATATGGCTACTTTAGTCCCATAAGCCTAATGTTAAAAATTGGAAATTTTAAGTTCGTTTTAAATTGCAATAGCATTATCTAATTGAAATTTGTTTGTTTAAAAACCATCTCACTATTAGTCTAAGTAATTTTGTTAAGTTTGGCTGAAATGCGTTCAGCCGTTATTGAGTGATGTTTCTCTATTTGTTGCATTGAAGTTGATCCCAAAGAGCTTCGCTCGCTCCGCTCAATTAAAGTATGTAACTGATTAAGGTACTTAAATAATTCCTAAATGATAAAAGCCTTCTATTTAACTCAAATAAAACAATCTATATTAAGTATAGATGTATTTACTCAAAACATATTTCTCTGATAATTTAGGTATAAAAGAGGTTAAGTTACCTTGATTCTGTCCAAGTAATCCTTAAGTCGTCATTAGTACGACCGGTTTTGATGACTAATGGTATTTTATCATCGTTATGTAGACGACACTATTGTCCTGTTTAATGGCACAATGAGACAGTTGGAAATGCTACTAACTTACTTGAACAGCTTACATAAAAACAAAAGTTTACTCTCGAAACCGAAAGCAATAAAACACTGAATTTTCTAGACCTTAGTATCTCAAGATGTTCTGACAAAAACAAACTTGTTTTTAAAATCTATAGAAAACCTACAACCACACACCAGACCATCCATAATAGTTCACATCATCCACAAAACCAGAAATTGGCAGCTTATCACAGTTTTGTTAATAGATTACTATCAATCCCGATGTCTGAAGAAAACTAAAACGAAGAGGTCAATACCATTAAATATATTGCAATAGCTAACGGTTACAGGAGCAATATCATCGACAAACTAATCTTGAAACATAAGAACAAAAATAGCCGCATAAAAACAACCTTAGACAGACCGAAATACGTTTCTACCGAATTTGGCAGCTATCTCAACCATACATTATGCAGAGAGATGTCTAAAAACCAAGTTATCGTTTCATTTCTCATTGCAGCATAGTGTTACAGTAAATGTAACACCAAATGTTTGTCCATTGTTTCACAGTGTTACACTTTGTGTAACACCACATGTTTTATTTTTTTCCAACCAGACACACAGCGCTATTATTTCGGAACTGTTCCCCTGTAGTTCAACACATCACCACTAGATAGGGTATGTGGGTATTTGAGGGAAACCTATTTATTTATTGTGTTCAGAGACGTTCACATGTGATCGTGTTGGTGTTTACTGTTATCATTGATACTTTCATGATTATTGAGGTAAGATTATTACTGATTATACTTATTCTAAATGGAAAATGAACTTATGGTTTCGTTATACAATATAAAGTTGTTTTCCCATAATTTATTTAAGTTATACGTTGCTAGGTGATAGGTCAAAACAATTAAAAACAAGCATTTTTGCATTTGTCATAGTTCCGTGCAACATGGGGTCACAGAACTAGGGATGGTTCCGTGCAGCAAAGAGTTAAAACTTCGAATAAACTTTCATCAGTATTAAAAGATAAGAAAACAAACCGTGACGATCAAACAGAAAATTCAGGTGTATACAAACTGAATTGTGACAGTTGTCCAAGCTTTTATATTGGTCAGACTTCACGCCCATTTAAAACACGTTTTAAAGAACATCTCCCGAAACCATCTGTTAACCAACCTAACTCCGCATTTGCTGAACATTTGATTAATAACAACCATGAATATACAGATATCAACACCAATCTAGAAGTTCTACGATCCTATAAAGGAAGAGGAAGATTATTAGATACTATTGAGGAATACAAAATTTACAAGGCCGGCAAAAAACACCCCCAACACATCCTAAATGATAAATCCTCATTTGAATCAAATATAATTTATGAGACAGCTTTAAACATCGACGAAATATTATCAACAGCTGATAACTCGAGGGGGAAGGTGGGAAGAGGATGACACGGCGTCAGTCTAGACCTACACCCTGTACCCGCCGCTGTGTTGTAAATTAGTTGTGTGGCCATGCATTTTATCGTTTTTTGTTTGTGTACGTGTTATGAGTTACGTGTTTTTCAAGACTCATGACGACCTCCTAGGATCGATTTTTACGTCCAGCTTGACAATGATGCCATAGACATCGAAACCGGTCGCACTAATGACGACTTAAGGATTACTTGGACAGAATCAAGGTAACTTAACCTCTTGTATACATTCATGAAGTAATCCGGAAGGCAATATACAAGATGATAATTTAGTCTCGAAAACCAAATGTTTAGGCCTATTAATAGATTATATACGCTTGTTTGGATCACATAAATCTAGATAGGATTTTTAAAATTAAAAATCTTTTGCTTTTTTTATTAAACCCATTATGCACTACAGAGATTTTGCGTACAGTTTACTTTGCACTCTCATATTTGTTACGGAATAAAGATTTATGGGGGAACAAGTAATTTTAACTGTAATCAAATTTTATATCTACAAATGAATGCTATAAGATGAAACCTTAACCTGGATTAATCCTGTGTAAATCTTTTCTGAAAAATAGGAAATGTATGAAAAATATAGGGAAAATAGGCACTACGACTTATTTGCGTTATGCACCACGAATATTATGTACACAAATGTCGAAACTTCGTACATACAGCTGAAGAAGTTAATACTAAATATTTTTCATAGTTTAGCAATTTTAAAACGTGAACTAATACTGTATTTCCGAAATGTTGTTGATGGATGACGGCAATTGCTAAAATACTGTGCGCGTAAACTAATTCATTTATACCTCGTGGTGGTCATCTAAGTCGATTATAGGACAAACTAAAAGTCTTACGAAAAAATGTTTGGAACAAAAATTGAAGAACATCTTATTATCTATACTTTTCTCACTGAAAGTTTTCATCTGACCAAAAAATGAAAAAAATCCTCGCTCACTTATTTTTCCATGTTTATATTGAGCAACCTTTTTACATTTTCCATTATTAAAAATTAATCATCTGCACAAACTAAATTGTATTTATATCGTATTAAACATCAGTTTACGCAGAACTTAAATATGTTAATTTCATCCTGTCACAATTTGTATTACAATTTAGACGAACGTGCAAAGCGACAGGGAAAGGACCACTTCGAATAGTCTCGCCAACATCGGAAACTCTCTTCCAGCATGTGTGTGTGTGTGTAATGGGTGCGTGTGTATGCGTACGTTATCGTTTCCTGCACGGACTGTACCCATTGTCACTTGGAGTTATGAAACTTGGTGTTATGAACCCTTGGAGTTATGAAACTTGGACTTGTGGTCCTTGAAAATCTGTACGTTTGGAGTTATGAAATTTTGTATTTTAATTTACTTGGTTTTATTTTAACTTGGACTTATGAACCTTAGAGTTATGAACGCTTGGAGTTATGAAACTTGGTCTCATGATATTTTGGTTTTAATTTACTTGGACATAATTTCACTTGGAGTTATGAAATGTTGTATTTAAAAGTACTTGGAGTTATGAACCTCACCCTTCCTAGAGACCGTTGTATTTAACCACAACGGGCTATGTTGCTAGTTTTAAAATAATTTAAACATGTATTCATTTGTAAACAAGGATTATCAAGAATCAAGAAAATAAATTTATTTACCTCCTAATATGTTGTTATCAGTGGCCGAAGATGGGTTTTGATAAAAATCTGAAATATACCACTTTGTTTAGTAGTTGTGTTATTTGGTGATGAGTAACCTTCAAACAAAGAATAATAATAATTTCAACTTGTTTACCAGGGCTGGGTTTCCCAAACAACAAGCTGCTAACACAGTGCTGAGGTCCATCTCAAGTTACTTCTCTTCCACACTGTCTTCCTCTGTCAAACAGATATATTTTGTGCTCTGGGACATGGAGAGTATTGGTATATATACAGCAGAGCTGGCTAAGCTAGATTCATAGAATTGACTGTATTTAGTACTCAGCCAAAACTGGATTGTTATTTGTAAACTAACTGTGCATTTGGGATCATCAACCAATAAACTATCAACCAACTATCAAAGATGTTCTTTAAATATTCAGGGTGTTTGAATATCTCAAAACCGTAATATGGCAACAACACTTTGACTTAGTGGTTGAACTCTCAAAAATGATTAAAAAAGGTTGTCCTAAATGTAGTTAGGCTACTTCACAAATATTATTAGCTAAGTTGCCTTACCTAAATGGTAAATGGCGTTGATGATTTAAAATTAAAACCTTAATTTTTTTACTGATACACTTCTATGTCCTTGTAGAATTAGTAGAACAATGTAAGCTTTGAGTGAATTGCCATATACATTGTTGTATTCAAACTTTATAGTGAATTTAAATTGGTTAACAAGTATAATCCAGTCGTGGCAGATTCCAAGTGAGATCTTAGACTTGTAGGTCTGTTTAAAGGCCAGTACCACATGACCAATAGGATAATTACGTGTTAAGATTATGTTGTTTCAGTGAACTTAGTCATTTATGTGATTATGTCAAAGTATCAAGCTACCAATGCTCTAGGAAGGATCTGATAAAATCAATCAATATTATCGCTAGAATGTTAAAAGTAAATTACCAAGAAGGGAAGAAAAAACCATACAGATAACATGCAATATCTGTATATATGGCCCAGACTGTCTAGGCTGTAAATGGAGCTTACACAAAAGGTGCATATTTATATGCTAGACCTCATAGTGTTATTACACCCTTTCTCATGTGTTGAGGTACGGTACTCTAAATTCAGGTTAATTACAAATTGTTTATTCAAAGTTTGATACATCAATGAAGTAATAACAAAACTTCTTCCACCAAAGTGAGTAAAAGATAAAATCAAGCTGGTGTAATGTCTTCAGTCCTCAAGGTCTCGGGTTCAAATCCCACCAATCACCAATGGATTATCCAAGTGATAATGCCGCAACCTCTAGCCTAGTCCAAAGTAATGTGAAAAACAATCCCAGAAAAAAAGAGTTATGATAAGAATTAATGAATTAATTGCTCTTCTTTATGTGTGATTTAGAACCCAAATGAGAGTCTATATAAATAAAAAAATAATAAACCTAGACATCGAGTTGTTAACAGGGTGTCCAGCCAACCTGGAAAAGTGAAAACGAGAATAAATTTTTATTAGCAAAAAATCTCAGAATAATACATACATTTTGTAGATAAGTTGAAAATTTTAATTTTTGAATAGTAGCCTACCTGAAAAATCCGCCCGAAAACTCAGATTTTTCTTATTTTTTGTAGTTAATAATCACAATCAAGGGTGATCACAGATACATGACATGGTGAAGGTGTTGACATGACTACTGGATGTCGCGATCGCGCAAGAAATCGTCATTCGTTTAAACATGATTGCTAGAAATTATCACTGATTTTACTGCGATTGTGTGAGACTTGCAAGGTTACTGCAATTCTGTCTTGTTGGATGTTGCTGTGATTGTGAAAAATCATCAGGAATGTTGCAGGAAAACATACTGGATGTTACCATCACAAATTTTGCCGCGATGGAATGGTATGATCAACAATGTGGCTGCGATCACAAGCCCTAACTATCACAACACTTTCCAAAGGGTTTTTAATGTATCCTAACTAAGGAAATAAAACAAGATTTGCCAATTTTTTTAGAAGCAAGTTTTGTCCTGGAAATATAACTTTTTGAACCTGAAAATTCTGGAATTGTGCTTAAATTTTATTTTGATGAGTCGCTGGACACCCTGTTAGTATCTAGACTGAAAGCTGACATACAAAAATGAGGCAAAACTAGGTATATTTTGTGTTGAATGTTTTTTGCAATCAAAGATTTGCATGTCAACAATGTTAGAGCTTTTACATAACAAGAAACCACGCACAAGTTGTTATTCTAACTTAAGATTCAATCATTATAGAACATTAGGTGTGATGTAATGTTTGTAATTGGTAATTCATCATAATGTGATGTAGGAGAAAGGATATAGGAGGTACTGGTATTTGATGAAACTGATTAAACAATATGCAGAATGTATACACTTTCATTGTCAGGAAACAGTACGCCCAAGTAGATTCAAATCACGCACAAACCTACATAATATGCACAACATAACTAATTGTATTTTACATGTATCTGCTAGTTGAATCTCAAGGACAAGATGATAAATCTATCTTGGCTTCTAACAAACCTCAATAAGGAGGGAACTGTGAAAACAAGTCTACATTTATCATTTTATTTATTTAGAGTCTGTAGAGTAATCTGTGTTGCAATATTAAATGTGGTTTTATGTTGATTCCTCTTTGTATTGTTGGGAATAAATGTATTGATGTTAAAAATTACAGGCACAGAAATTATGATTTTGAAGTCTTAAATGTTTCATTTTACAAATATCATCATGTACAGGAGAACTAGTTAATGTTTTTACATTTTACAAATATATAGGCCTACAAGAGAACTAGTTAATAATTATTAGTGTGTACACATCATCATAGGGGCTTAGGAATAATTTGTTTAATGACTACTGTATAAAGATACATGATCATGCAAGTTGGAATTAGCCCACAGATAGTTCAGTTGTAGTCCGTAGTTGGTGCTAACAAAGAGCCGCCTGTCACCCTTTGGAATACCGCACAAAGCTAGTGCCACCCGAACGCACAATTTCGCACAAAATTGTTGATTTGCTAGTTTGATGAAATGTTACACTTTTCTCAGATCTCTACCGCTGTGCCTATTAGTGGTTTTTAAGTTAAATGCCTGTATAAGTTGGTCATAACATTTTAAAAGTAGAAAGATAATTTGTTTGAATGTTTTTTATCCCTATTAAACTTCTAATCTAATTTTCCTATAAATTCAACATAATGTTAACAACTATTAGTTACAAGTAAACTATTTGCAACCTTGTACATTTAGGTTTGATGCAGATAGCTGTTGGACAAGGTTCTGAATTGCAGAAAGCAAGTTCTAAAATATCATGAATATTGCACTGGCGATTCTTTATTACGCTCTTTTTCTTTGCTGAAACTGTCAAAAGTGTCAAGCTTGTTACTATTTACTGGATGTTTTACTTTATTGTAGGATTGATACATTTGTTTGTAATATATAGTGGTTTTTTTTTTTAATATTTATTTAATCTATTAAAGTAAATCATCTTACTATTTGAATCATACTAAAACATTCAGTCTAGTTATTTTAATTTTATATTTGAATTTATTTAACAACATTGTTGCTGACTTTTCCTAGCTACAAGAAAAATTATTACCTAATTAATAAATACTTAATTCATTTTCAAGAGTTCTGTGTCCTTTTGTAAAAAAATACCACAAATATTAGACAGTGATTTCTATATTAATTACTCATTGTTAATTACTCATTACAGCATTGTCTAGCAGATTTACCTGTCAATTATAACATACTAGCAGTTAACCTGAGATAAATTGCATAATATCTTAGAGCATTGGTGTTGATACTGGTTGTAGTTGTAAAGGCTTTATAATTTTCAACCTTACAACTACTGTATTTCATAAAAAAACATTCCTTAGAAAATTATTTGTTATTGTAATATGTTATGTTTTTGTTTTGTTCTGATAGTTCTATTACAAATACTGTTTATATAGACATTATATCGTTGGTATATGCTGGAAAAGTTAAGTGATCAATTAGGTATGCTAGATGTACTAGACCAAGGCCCCACTAGAAAAACAGGCCATGCTGAAGCACGTCATCGCAACACTACGTCACAGTGGTGGATAGTTGTACTAAACTCTTACCATTAAAATCTTACAAACAGCCAGCTTGTTTATTTAGCTAAAACTTATGGGAATGGTGATGACAATGAATTTATCAATGAAATCTATCCACTAGTGTGACGTCATGGATCCTGCAGCATGGCCTGTTTTTTCTAGTGGGGCCTTGACTAGACCCAACAATGGTATGAAACAGTTAATTACAATCTCATTAAAACATTTTTTGATTTTTATAGATTATAAAGTGAGTTAAATTTTTGTTTTATTTTACAACTTGTTGATTATGTAAAGAGTTTAATTCAATACAGTAGTTATGTTTTAATTTTTAATTGTTGGAGTTTTCCATGATTTGTTATACACATTTGGTGTTTTTTTTTTTGTGATTTGATAATTATTTTTGTTAAATTTTACATAGAGAAGTAAGGTTCAGAGTAAACTTGCTTATGGGAATACCGTGCACTTTCGGCTCTAGTTTGTTTTACACGCTACGGCCAATCTTCTTTTGATAAGCAATGAAGAGCCCAAGTTCGGAAGTTCCTATCGCACAGGACATAGGGTCTTCCTCCAGCATGAAAGTTGTACGTGAATGTGAAGGGGGAAGGAGTGCGAGGGGGGTTAGGAGATGTTGCAGTGTTGAACTTTACCCCAGTTACCAGTGACTAGTGTTAGACACCACTTAGGTGCACCATAAATTAAATGTTTCCTCTTTACCTTATTTTCCTGTGGTTCTTAGACTATAAACAAGTATTGAGCTTTTGGCTCAAAGGCTTTAAATACATTTTAGAAGAGATCTCTTTTGAAGTAGTCCAACATTTATTGGCTTCTGGGTTCCAGAATCTTGTGGCAAGCTTGTCCATTAAGGTACCTTTCTATTATAGACAAGTCAAGTACCTGGTAGGTTTTGAGTGGCAAGTTTGTCTCCTTGTCTGTAGCACATTTTAAAAATAATTTGAAACCATGAAAATCATTATCGTCAATTGGAAAAGCTAATCTATAGTACATGACAAGATGAGAAGTTTAATTCTACTGCATCATATTCTTTATCCATACCATACAAAAATGTTCATCCCAAATATGTCTTGTTCCAAGGTGCTACAGTTTGGCTTGTGCATTTTTGATATTTATACATATAAGATTTTTTTATAAGATATTTATACGGGAAAATTTTTATAAAATTATAATTGTAAATTCGTCATTTTAAGCACTTTGACGAAAAAACTGTTCTCATCTTCTTCATTTAGTATCAAAAATAAATAGGCTATAACATATTAATTTCGATACGAAAACAACAGTAAAATTATTTTATTTTGACATTTAGTATAAAAAATATATAATATATATATTTTTATGACAAGATTTTCATCATATGTTTGAATATATATTCTACTACATAAATGCCTCTTGCTCTTAAATTTTTTTAAGTCCAACTAAATGCCTTTCCTTTTAGTAACAAAATTATTAAGTGGTCCAGTAAGATCGGCCTATTTTTAAGATCCTCCTAAGTGGTCGATTTTGAAGACGCGCCGAATCTGCGTGAAAACACACTCCGTGTGGCATACCTCATTACATTTAATGCTGCCCATATTTCTCGCATTTTTTTACGCTGAATTCTTGCGTGAAAAAACGCCCGTGTGGCCGTAGCCTAAGAGTAAGCGTATGACTCCCTCAAATTCACCGGGGTGGCTCGGTGGCTGCCGCGAGGCTCGGGTTCCGTCATCGCCGCCGAGCTGTCAAACGTTGTTTGATATTATTTTGTGTTTTAAATGTCGTTTGTAAGTTTTTAATCGATACAACGATTGATATAGGCCAATTCATAATAAATAAGACATATTTTAGGCACATGTATCTGTCTGTCCTTTATTATTTTATTTTCATTCCAAAACATTAACTTATTTCTAGCGATAGTAAGGCCTCGCCGGGCAGGCCTAGCTGGGCAGGCCTCGCTGGGCAGGCCTCGCTGGGCAGGCCTCGCGCGAGGCCTTCTCCGGCGCGATGCCTGGAGCGGCAGCTCCACTCGCTCCACCCTAAGGAAGGCGCTGCTTTGAACTAAATCAGTATATTGTCAGACTCATAATAGTATACAATTTTAATATTTTTATTAGCATTTTGTTGCTTTTACATTTAAAGATGAGTTAGGTCAAATCAATTGACAGTCCTTGACAAACAATATGCTTTTTATTTGTTAAAATAAAATATAATTAGGAATACATTTACATTTCATATTTCTAAAATAAATCTTCTATATTATATATTCTATACTGTATATTCTATATTCTTTTACGCTACATGGAACTTTGTGAACAATAATGCTTTTTTGGTTTAAGATTTAAGATTTAACCCCACATATTATACCAAAATGTTCGTCTAGGTGTGTAGATTTGCAAACTGACCTTACATTTATGAAAAAGTCCCTTCGGCTCTGCCCGAGTGGCTTTTTAAGTTCCTATGTTTTCCTTATTATAGAACATATTTGTTTACATTATGATCAGCTGGATAATTTAATTTCTGTTAATATTTTAATTGCAATTTAAGGAAATGTGTGCTACAAACATTTACTGACTTGGTTGAAATGAAATATTTTCTATTTGAATTTGGGTTGGCGTAAATATTACAATGGAAAAAAGCAAGAAACACAATTTGACATATTTGATATACTAAAAAGATAACTGAATAAACACTGTGCTGCATTTCTTGAGCAATCATTGAAAGAGCCAATTTGCAAACTATGGAAACATAGGAAAGTCAAAGAACACCACCTAGTAAAATAAAATAAAATAATGTTTTTTCTTAATTTATAATCGTTATTATGGACAACCTAATGCGGATATGAGTGGGAAATATTTGTAGAAAACACTAAAAAAAGCTTTTGAAAAATGATAAGATTTTTACAAGAAATGTTGATTATATAGATCTGTTATGTACATTGTGATTATTTCCATAATCTTTTTTATCAACTCTTTTAAAGACATCGGAAGCGATTACTGATATTCGTTTTAAATTAACACCTGTAATGTAATACTTCGCAATTGCTCTAACTCGAGCAACCGGTACTCTAGTCAATATTAAAACTTAAAAAAATAGTATGTAAATTTGTTATTATATGATTGAGTTCTCTGCTACATAACATCTGCGAGACCCAGGGCTATGTTGGACCACTTGTGAGTTGAGCGTTGTAAGTTGGTGGCTTTAGTGACTGCACAATATCCTCTTTGCACATTGTGATTGTGATGTTTCTACTGTGTGTCTTGTAGTTGATTTATACATTGATTAAACTACAATAGATGTTGAAAAATTTTGTTTCTATACTTTTTGCCTTGTTTAACCAATACAGGACTACCTGTTTGGTTTCTGAAGGAAACAAGCTTTACTTGATCAAAACGCAAGTGGGTTTTATGGGGGATTTTGTGGGGTAAAAATTGGATTTCCTCATTTTTGACCCCCAAAACATAAAATGTAGCAATTTATTTCTAAAACTTTTTCTAACGCTTAGAAAACAATAAGTTATTTGTGTAACTAGTGTGCGAAGTGGCACTTTGCTGCACATGATAGAAATGTTTGCGCACGAGACGCAGGCGAGTATGGAAAGTTTCTCGAGTGCAGCAAAAGAAACTTTGCTCAGGCGTTACACATTTTCTTTTCCTACTATAAGGCATAATAATAATAAGTCTTTCAAACACTAAACAACACATTTTTGGTTAGGTTAAATCCAAGCATTGAACAAAATGGAAAACGCTGCACCAGCTGATTGTACTCGTAGTATCTTCTAGTGTCACCAACTTATTTCCAACTGTACAAGTACTACGTGCCTAATAAAGGCACACTTTTTTTGTTGTTTGGTTAGAATACTGGAGTGCTGAAAAAAATGAGTGTGACAAAAGTAAGTAAATGCAGCAATTAGCTACTCTGCATGCTATAATCAGCACAAGAAAGCCCGCTTTGCCAGGTAACTGTAGAAAAAAAAATAGTATGCGTTTTTGCACATCTAATAGTTAAATAGACAAATAAAAAAAAACTATCAATTTGAAAATTCTATGGTTTTCTTATGCAGAATAAATAAACTGTTGTAGTTTGCTTGTTTTTTATGGATATATTTTTATCAAATTTGGTAAATTTGTTAATCTCCTACTGAGCTATTGATGAAATAAGTTGCTGCCTTCCAGTTGTAGCAGCAAACCTATGTACCATAATGTAACATATAAGTTGATGTTTTTTAAATACCTAGTGGATAAATCTGAAAATTTTAAAGAAAAAAAAATCTAACTAAGCAATTGGAAATATGCTTAGTCTGCAGTTTTCCTTTGATGGGGTTATTAATTATTTAATTTAATCATCCGGTTCACTGCAAACTTGCCTACATTAAATAAATAAGATTCTGTGATAAGCCAAGTGTACGGGCAGGAATTGTACGCCTTTTTGTCGATGAGCAGCAGGGGGTACAGTTACAGGGGGGTACAATTCCAGCGACCTGAAGATAACAATATAATAGGACTCCACGGTACTTGCCCTAGCTCTTTTATGAGAGGCCGTCAAAGCACTTTCCTTGAGGCCCAGCCAAGCGAAAGTACCCGTGGCACAACACACACGCACGCACACGGCACAGACATACTGCAGTCTGTTAAATTTCACTTGCTAAATTCATAGTTAGCTATATGTACATGGAGATAAAAAAAAATTCTAAATATATGACGGCCAATTTCTAGCAGCCATTTCTCAATAACTTTTTTGTATGTACGCATGTAGAAGGAGATTTAATATTTTTAGTGGAATTTGCGAGTAAATGATATTCGCAAGATATAAAGAAGAAGTGCTATTTATTGACTTCGTTAATCTATGGGTAGTAAATCCATGATTAGTTGTTGATCTGGCATGGTATTGATGTGTAATGTGTAGGAACATAAAGTTTTTTTTTAATGAATATATAAAATAATAATTTTTGTGATCTGTTGGGGTATATTTAGAACTTGAAATTCAACAAACAAAAGATCTGAGCGATAACGTTGATTGTTGTTGAGTGCTATCTTAGTTATAGACTTTTGAACTATTTAAAGTGGAGTTAAAACAGTCTGATAAAATCCACCACAAGCTAAAATTCCATATTGAAATAATGATTGTACATAGTCGCAATACACAGTTTTAATCTAGTCTGGGGGAAGTATTTTGTTGATATGTGACTAGGTAGATACTTTCACAGGTTATATCTTACATAAATATATGGCAATTCCATTTTGGTTATCAAAAATGATTGTATTGAAGAGGGATCGACTCATGGTCCAAGCACGTCAACCGAAGCTTATTGTGCATCCCACTTGCCACTAACTGGATAAGCCAATGCCTGTGGCCTTGACTAGGTGCAGGAGCTTTTGCCCAATGTTAGCGTCTGGTTCATTACCTGGCTGCTTTAGACCAAACAGACCCTTCTCCTAGCCCCTAGTCTGTCGCAGTCCAAAATAATGTGTTTTGCAGTCTCATCGGACAGGTTGCAAAGTCGACACTCCTGCTTGTCATTGACAATTCCTAGATTGTGAAGATGTTTCCTGAAATGTCAAGCACAGGACACACAGCCAAAGTCTTAGCAATGGCGTAGTGGCCTGCCCCTGACAGGCCTTCCCTCCACAGATTTGCAACCCTCAGATGGTAAGCTGCCTTAAGGGCTTCAAATTTGATGTCCAGAGGTAGCAGCCCTAGACCAACTTCTAGAGTAGCTGATGGACTGCTCCTGAAGGCTCCAGTGGCCTGTAGCGTGCCGAGCCTTTTTCATGATTTCTAGTTTGGCTATGACAGTTACCTGATTCACCTTTGTCCACCAGACTAGTGAACCATAGGTAATCTGAGGCCTGACCACAGCCTCATATAGCAAGATATGTGGGGTTTAATTCCCCAAGGTGGTTCCTGCAAATCTCCTGAAACTGAAATAAAACGGATGCTGGGGCTCAACACGCCAACCAGCTACACCGGGCTCAACACGCCTCTAGTGCCGGAACGGAATGTACCCGGCTCAACACGCCTCTAGTACGGAAACGGAATGTACCGGGCTCAACATGCCTCTAGTACGGGAACTGAATGCACCGAGCTCAACACGCCTCTAGTGCGGGGGACTGGATGCACCGAGCTCAACACGTCTCTAGTGCTGGGGAACGGGATGCACCGAGCTCAACACGCCTCTAGTGCGGGGGACTGGATGCACCGAGCTCAACACGCCTCTAGTGCTGGGGAACGGGAAGCACCGAGCTAAGCTTCAATCTTAGTTAAATCCCGATCTTCACTACTAATCATACAATTTGCGTGCATAACAATGCCTTAAAATCTTTAAAATTGACTACCAAACACCCTGTATATGAGGATGTGCATAAAAAGTGTCAGTGCAATGAAAGATAACAAAGTCAAGTTACTGATTGATGGGAACAGGAGACATTATTAAAATTGAATATCAAAACTTGGGAGATACATCAGAGAATTTTGTGAAACTTTGTAAACACTCAATCTGTGATGGAATCACATATTGTCTAAAGTTTTACTGCAAAAAGTTTGTTACTTGGGACACATTATCTGACAATATTTTGGTTGTAAATCTTAATAAACGATATCATGAGTTAAATGTTGTAAACAAACAGAAAAAAAACATAATGAAAAAGCACATTCACCAATTTAGACAATGTTTCCCAACCGTTTCCTTTGGCTTTCAAATACAGTACCTGAGTTACCAGTCTCCAGTCTCCAGTATTTTTTTTTTTTAATTTTGCTCATTTTACTTGAGTGCTCTTGCTTACAGTCAGTCACTTAATACGTTAATTATATCATCCTTGAGCTAACTACTTATTGTTTACTATAATTTAGTTAAAAACTTGCCTTGAACGAATGCTGACATTTAATATTCTTTGTTAGAACATACCATTTCAGTGGCCTCTGCTAGCATACCAGTACCACAGGTTACAAAACACTGTACTGAGAAACTTTACTTTACGTACTATGATAAAACGTATAAAAAGATGGATGTTACGTAGGTAAAAAAAACCACGAAGAAGAAACCATAAATATAATATTTAATAAGCTATACATAAACATAAAAGAATGGAAATTGTATTAATTAAGTCCACAGTCGGGACTGATTGAGCCAGCCACATGCAGTTGGAACACAACAAGTACGTTGGGACTCCTGAAACAGAGTGTCTCATTAACAACTACAGCAAATTAACAAATACCCCCGCCACAGCAAACCGGTAGACTAAGCAAATTTTCATTTACCTAGATGGATAGACACTAAAATATTCCCTTAAAATTGTCAGATTTAATTCCTATTTAAATAACATTAATTTTAATGAGTACTTAGGTTTGCTCCTACAGGGGAGGTTATAAAGAGTTTTTTTCATATTGAAATGTTGATTGTTTATTATGAAATAAACAAAATTGCCATATTTGATTAAAGTTGATTCAAAAAGGACTTTACAACTTTTAAAATTCATATAAATCTTATTAAACAAGGTACAGAGCTGGTTTTGGTGTTGTTTTAAAGGAAAACACTTACAGTTTTTTTACCTTAAACTAAAGATGTTCTATGTGACTTCCGTTGGATTTGGGGAAAATAATTATTTAGGTATGAAAAAATAGTGAAAACCGTAAAAAAATTGAGAGAAATTTAAAAAATTATGAAAGGAGGGCGTTTTTTGACGGTGAAGGAGTGCGATTTTCGAAAAACGCACAATTAGTGTCTTGTAGGAAATTTAATTCCAAACCTACGTTTTTTCCTCAAATCTTTTATAGCTCTCACCGTTTTCAAGCTATAGCCGTTTGAAAAAAACGTGTTTTGTCGTTTTCAAAGGTACGCCATTTTGGATTTTTGGGGGGGTTAAAATTTGAAAATGCGACTTTTTGGAATTTTATGGGTGGTTTGGATCTAGAAGTGGGTGTATCGCACTCCTTCACCGTCAAAAAACGTCCTACTTTAAACATTTTGTAAATTTCTCTCACATTTTTAACGGTTTTCACTATTTTTTCATACCTAAATAATTATTTTCCCCAAATCCAACGGAAGTCACATAGAACATCTTTAGTTTAAGGTAAAAAAAAACTTTAAGTGTTTTCCTTTAAAACAACACCAAAACCAGCTGTACAGAGCTTGTTTAATAAGATTTATATGAATTTTCAAAGTTGTAAAGTCCTTTTTGAATCACCCTGTATAACCATAAACAAGCACACTACAAAAGTTTATTTATTTCACATAAGAATAAACATTAGAATTTTAAATTGACACATTTTAGCGAATTTCCCATATAGGGAATAAGCTATTACCGTAGTACTCATGGTAAGACCTGGACGCGGGACCGATTTTTTTTTTCGTTTCGAGGTCCCTAGAGACCAAAAACACCATCCGTTCAAATTCATATATATATATATATATATATATTTATATATTTATATATTTATATATTTATATATTTATATATTTATATATTTATATATTTATATATTTTATTTTGTATTTGATATTAAACAATTCAGAAGAAACTCATTTTTCATCAGAAAAAGAAAAATTGAATTTGTCAAAGGGGAAGATGTTTAGATAGTTAATATTCTATGCTTTTAAAATAACATATGATTCTTCAGGTTTAACTTACATCTGTTTACAAATAAGTTGTTGTTATGTTTTTGAGAATAGAAACTTTTACTGTTACTAAAAAATGTCTCCTTTATTTAAAACTAATTAATAAAAACTATATAAAATTCTCGTGCCACAGTGTTTGTCTGCAAACTCCTCCGGAACGACTTCACCGATCGTTATGAAATTTAGTGTGTAAATTCTGTAGGTATGCGAATCGGACGTAAACTATTTCCCCTTTCGAAATTCTTAAAAGGGCTCCGCCCCAGTGGCTCTGGAGTTTCCCATGTTGACCTTATGAGAAATGGAATTAATGAATCTTAACAGCTGTTTCAATTAAACAAGTTGGTTCTGTTCTATGATGTTCAATAGCATTAAAGTTACAAGGATTACCAACAGGGTGCAGCACTATTATTTCTTTTACATTTATGACAACAGCTAATTTGCAACCAAAAGGTGAGTGAGCGTAGCGAACGAACTTCAACCTGGAGGCGAGTTAGCGTAGCGAACGAGCTAACCTGAAGGCAAGTGAGCGCAGCGAACGAGCTCCAACCTAAAGGTGAGTGAGCGTAGCGAACGAGCTCCAACCCAAAGGTGAGTGAGCGTAGCGAACGAACTTCAACCAGGACGTGATTGAGCGATGCGAACGAGATCATCTTGAAAATTAAACGTAACGGTACTTTCTTTCCATCGGTCTGTCTTAGGGGAGACCTATAACTTAGGCGATACGAAGTTCACCGGGTCAGCTAGTTTATATATATATATATAAAAATATATGTCCGTTAGCACGATAACTCGAGCAAAAATGATCCGATTTTGATGAAATTCGGTACAAACGTGTAAACCTACGTTTATTCGAACGAGTTCGCGATCCAGCATGATCGGACCATGGGAACGGGGGTTTACGGGGGGTTTTATGGGGTAAAAATAGGTTTTTCGCATTTTTGACCCAAAAAACATAAAATTTAGCAATTTCTTTCCAAACCATTTTGTAGAGCTTAAAAAAACAAATAATTTAGTATATTGAAGCGTTATTATGCGCCTAATGGTTACGGAGAAAATTCCAAAAAATTGTAAATTTAAAATTCCCATGTTATTCTTATGGAGAATAAGTAAACTGTTGTAGTTTGCTTGTTTATGAACATATTTTGATCAAATTTGAAAAATGTTTTTATTTCTTACTAACTATTAACATAAAAAAAACAGTTTTACCTCCCTGATGCAGCAAACCTAAGTACTTGTTAAACTAATTCTATTTAAATCGGGAAAAAATGTTATATTTTTAAGTAGACATTTCAGTGTAAATCAAATGGAAATTCGCTTAGTCTGCAGGTTTGCTGCGGCGGGGGTATTTTTAATTCTCTCCGTAACGGTCAGGCATACAATACCGCTTCATTATACTAAATTATATATTTTTTTTAAGCTCTACAAATTTGTATAGCAAGAAATTGCAAAATGTTATACTTTAACCCTCCATGCTAGTTTATAATGCCCGTTCCCATAGCCCGATCATGCTAATTTGCGAACTTGTTAGAATAAACGTAGGTTTACAAGTTCGTACCAAATTTCATCAAAATCGGACCATTCTTGCTCCAGTCATCCTGCTAACGGACACACACACACACACACACACATATGAATTTGAACAGAGGGTTTTTTTGGCATCTGGGGAACTCAAAACGAAAAGGTAAATTGGTCCTCGGTCCAGGTCTTACCTTCTAAGGTAAAAGCTTATTCCCTATAAGGGAAATTCGCTAAAACACCGGAACTGAATAGATTTGGTGATGTATAATGTTTTACATATTCCATAACACAATACGTCAAAAGAAATATGTATTTTGAAAAAAGGATTGGAAGTTACATACTCTGAGAGATTATACAATGTCAGATATCCAACGTGGGTTGTCATCGTCATCTCTTGATCTCTCCTCCTGACTATCTAGCAGGTCCTGCAGAAGTACCTCTGAAGATCGCCTCCTGCGCCCTCTGTACAGTATACAACATACATAATATCATACATTTTATATGAAGATTGTTATTAAAATGCTATAACAAAATAGTCCACCCACTACATATAGTAACAAGAGTTACTATATGTACAGCTCTTGTTACTATATGTATATAACAATAAATATAAATATATAATATAAATCCTACTAATATTATAAATGAGAAAGTTTGGTTATATGTATGTATGGATGTTTGTGACAAGTAAACGCAAAAAAATCCTGGTCGGATTGGGCTGAAATTTGGGGTGATGATAGCTCACATTCCCGATTAACATATAGGCATATTGTTATCTCAAAACTCCTTTCAGGCTCCGTCCCAGTGGTTCTGGAGTTTCCCATGTTAACCTTATGTGTATTCACATTTAAAAGGAACTAGTTGTTTGTTACCAACGGGCTTCACCCCGTTTGACTTTTATAAGTATTAATAACACTATTGATTGGTTAAGTTAAGATGAAATAAACTAAACAGAATGCAGTAATACAAACAAATAATTACACCTAAGGTATAGTCAGAGAAATATAGGATAAGACCTTATAAAAATTGCAAGAACGTTTTATGGTTTTATTTTGTAGTGTTGGGTATGCAGAGTGACATATTGAAAGTTGCCAAAAATCGGTCTACGGGAAACTCCCTAAATCACGATTAAAAATGGCAGCTTTTCCCAACATTGGACACATTTAGAAAATACCCCCACCGCAGCAAACCTGCAGACTAAGCGAATTTCAACTTGTTTGATTACATTTTTACTAAAATATTTCCCTAAATAAGACATATTTATTCCCTATTTAAATAACGCATAGATTTAACGAGTGCTTAGGTTTGCTGCTACAGGGAAGGTAAAAAGTTTTTTTACCATACGTCAATAGTATAGAATGAAATAAATTAATTTGCCAAATTTTATCAATATTTAAATCCATAAACAAGTAAACTACAAAAATTTTCATTTTCTCCATAAGAATAACATGGGAATTTTAAATTACACTATTTTTGAATTTTCTCTGTGACCGTTAGACATATAACAGCGCTTCACTATACTAAATTATTTCTTTTTTACAAACTTTTGTTCTACATAACGGTTTAGAAAGAAATTGCCAAATCTTTTGTTTTTAGGGTAAAAAATGGGAAAACCCAATTTTTAGCCCATAAAACCCCCCATAAACCCCCGTTCCCATGGTCCGATTATGCTGGATCGCGAACTCGTTTGAATAAACGTAGGTTTACATGTTTGTACCAAATTTCATCAAAATCGGATAATTTTTGCTCGAGTTATTGCGCTAACGGACACATATATATAAATAGAATATTTATTATATATAAATTCATATATATAAACGTAGGGAATAAACGTAGGTTTACATGTTTGTACCAAATTTCATCAAAATCGGATCATTTTTGCTCGAGTTATCGCGCTAACGGACACATATATATAAATATTCTTCGCGTTAGCGCGATAACTCGAGCAAAAATGATCCGATTTTGATGAAATTTGGTACAAACATGTAAACCTACGTTTATTCCCCACGTTTATATATATGAATTTAAACGGATGGTGTTTTTGGCCTCTAGGGACCTCAAAATGAAAAATTAAATCGGTCCCGGGTCCAGGTCTTACTATGAGTACTACGGTAATAGCTTATTCCCTATATGGGAAATTTGCTAATATTCCCTATATGGGAAATTCGCTAAAAAGATGCAACATGCATTTTGTATACAAAATTTTTCTAGATATTGACTTGGGACGACCGCCGATGTTTACTGGGTGGCGAGTACTTCAGTTCGATAGGGAACTCATTTTTAGTTAGCCACCATCTTGGATCCGCCATATTGGATATAAATAACAAAAATTCAATGTAATGATAACACTGTGACACATTATAAACTATATTATGACGCTGATTTCAATGCCGAAATCCATTTTTAAATACATGTTTACGTTTTGAAGATATATTCAAACAAAAACTCTCCCTCATATATTTCTTATGGACGTTTCGTACTTTGACTATTTTTAAGATTATTTTTCTTACTAGCTGTGTGCCCGTTCTACGCACGGGGATCTTATAGTAGTCAGTTGAAACCTTCTTATATTAAGATTAAGAACAGCAATTAGTTTGCATATTTGCAGATATGCTGGCAAAACTATTATATATATAAACCTTCGCAAATACAGTATCTGACAGTTCAAGCCAAAATAAATGCTTCGCAATTAAATGTCACCCGGATCATGTTGGTCCATATGTCCAATGATTAAACTTAAAAATGTTTTATAGATCCATGAAGCGTAGCCCTAAAGTAGGCCTATAATTGAAAGTTACTTTCCACATCGGTTAACTTAAACGTATTTAAAGTACTACCTCAACCTCACCATTTAACACTTTACTAGTGTCCCTGTTGCTCGAATTCGAGCAATTGCTAAGTATTACAGGCGTTATTTTAAAACAAACTTCGACCAAGTCAGCAAATATTTGTAGCAAACTGTTTTATTAGCAAACTTATTGACTGTTTACAATTAACCTATGCTCTTCTTCTCACTTTTGATTTCAGCTGGAGTTTCATAACAATATTTGTTTCCCATGTTAATCTTATGGAGAAATAAGAAACTTTAAAGGGCTCCAGGGCCTCACTCTCTCATTATTTCCCTAAAAAGAAAGTTTCCTGCACAACTTCACGCTACGCTCTTTCCAATGACACCAAAAACATGACAATCGGTTCATTAGTTTCGGAGGAGTAATTGTCACAAAAAACCTGCTTGCGTATTAAATAAGTACTAGTGGTCGTCCTGTGGTCGAAACTCGACCAAAAATAATTAATGTACAGACTTCTCTATTTTCTCCCCACACTGTAAATAAAACATGTGATTGGGATTTCTTCCATTTGTTTTGATTTTCTGTTTACATTTTGTTTTTATTTTGTCACCATCATGGCAACCCAGTTGGTCCATGTTAATTTTTTGAAGTTTTCAAATTCGTTTTTTGTCCTATTTTTTAGCCTATTTTAATTTATAAAGGGATTCTGCACATCTACAGGCAAATATCTTTCTAACAGTATGCGTAGATTTCCCCTGCGATGCACACGAGCTGAGAAAAAAGGTTTTAAAGAAACATGCTTGCCTATTAATATATAGATAGATATAGATTCCGGTTGACATTTTCAGTATCAAAGGTGCTCTTGTCCATTCCGTGAAACACTAAAAAATAAGGACATTAATGCGTTACCAACATACAACAAAACAACACAATACAACAACCCAACAAAGGCCACGAACTATTGATACATAAACAATATAAAGGCGTAAACAATTATGGTTTGCCCAACAAATGTTTTACTCAAATAGGTTATCATTTTCTTAGCATACCGGGTAAGCTAAGATTTGGAATCCAGGCAGAAAAAGCAAAACTTATACAGAGTTAAGACATCACTTAAATTGAATACGGACGGCTCTAATAAATAAGGTGCAACACCAACGATATCTAATTTGTAAACTACCGGTTCTAAGGAAAAGAACCAGTACCTACGTAAGAACCTACCTAAGAATTACAGTAAATCGGACCAATTAAATACATTAATATCTAGTCCCGAGGTTATTGATCTCTTGCTTTTGGATTTTCTCGTAAAAGGTTATAGCGTAAACTTATCGGTGTCAGTTTGAAAAAGAAGCAACCTTACCCAAACAACTTTTTGTTATTTAATAGATTACGCATTCTCTAAACAATGATTAGTATATCTATTAACATTAGAAGGAAATGTGACGAAAATCACACAATGTTGGGGGTTTGGTCATTTGTAATTTTATTTTTTAAGTAGGTAGGCCATGTATTCTATGGAAAAGTACCGGTATCAAGGGGTAAGCTAAGATTTGGAATCCAGGCAGAAAAAGCAAAATTTATACAGAGTTAAGACATCACTTAAATTGAATACGGACGGCTCTACTAAATAAGGTGCAACACCAACGATATCTAATTTGTAAACTACCGGTTCTAAGGAAAAGAACCAGTACCTATGTAAGAACCTACCTAAGAATTACAGTAAATCGGACCAATTAAATACATTAATATCTAGTCCCGAGGTTATTGATCTCTTGCTTTTGGATTTTCTCGTAAAAAGTTATAGCGTAAACTTATCGGTGTCAGTTTGAAAAAGAAGCAACCTTACCCAAACAACTTTTTGTTATTTAATAGATTACGCATTCTCTAAACAATGATTAGTATATCTATTAACATTAGAAGGAAATGTGACGAAAATCACACAATGTTGGGGGTTTGGTCATTTGTAATTTTATTTTTTAAGTAGGTAGGCCATGTATTCTATGGAAAAGTACCGGTATCAAGGATCGTCGTCAAAAAGGTTGTTATGAATAAATATGTAGGCTTACGTACCCAAGATATGAGCTATGGGCCTATTGGCTGTATGGTCCAGCGATTGCATCACACGGTGAGTAGAAACAGAAAGTGACACATTGGAAAAGCGAGTTTAGCACTTCCTCTGTTAAACCTCTGTTACAATCACCCACTGCAGTTGTGATTTTTTACTTTACACTTTACACAATCGCCATTGAAGCGCCGTCAATGAGTGGAAACCTTTTTTGTAAGCTATTGGCGACGATCATTTCAGTGTCACAGCCCTATACAACACTGATTCAAGGTATTCTTCTTTCTGGTTGTCAAAACTCAAGAAACATTTTATACTCAAAGAATTTCTGGTTCCGATTTGGACGATGTCTAGTTATTTAATTTCATTTACGGTTACACTATTAGACTATATTATTGCACTTGCGATTAATTAAATCCGTTATGTAAGAAAAACGTTTTTAATCTCACTTGGTTGGGATTTGCTTTCAAAACGTGATTCGAAATAGTTGCGGTATTTGTAAACAACATTTGTAAACATGTCATTGACAGCTAGAAAAAATAATCTTGATCCGAACAGCTGTTCGTTATTTCATAGACGATTATGTGATAAAAATTGAACGAAAATTTGAC